CAGCAGAGGATTGTAAGAAAGTTTGGAAGGTACTGGTGATCCCTTTGAGAGCAGTGAAATCCATCAATAAGAAATGGAATGTGTATTGTACCACCCTGACACTTCCCAGAGCAGGCTGCCTTTCCAAACCAAGCAGTCTGGCGGGTAGGAATTCGGTTACGGATGCCACTGTGAATCCAGAAGTGATTGCTAGAAACTTTTCAGAGCTTCGGAGCCAGTGTTCATACATTGATAATATCCTAGTCCCTATACAAAGCTGAGAGGCAAGAATAAGCCTTTACTTAAAAAAGCCCAAACAAATCTTGCATGTAGTACGACACAAAATAATATAAATGCTACAGTAGGGGTGGCTTAAGGTTTTGTGGTCAGTTCAGATAAAAATTGGACCTTTTTGTCTAAGTGCAAATATCAGATGCGTGCTGAGCAACACGTTGCCCATTCAGAACTGTCCCAGCTGTCAAGCATGGTGTGTTATGTCATGTCATGGGGATGTTTCTCAGCAGGGAGTGTAAAGCTTGTCTGGTTTCTGCAAAGTACAGGCAGACTCTAGAAGCAGACCTGTTTGAGTTTACTAAGAAGCTTTGTTGAAAACCTACATTTCAGCAGGATAGTGAGTTGGAAGTCCAGGTTGACAAGAAGAGTGGGGGTGTTTTTTACTTGAATCCAGTAAGAAAGTGTGGCTACTTTGAAGAATATTGACGATCCCTAATGGGGAAAAAAAACTAGCAAGAAGAGTGTCCTAATATGACACTATCCCACTGTGCAAAGCTGGTAGAGACCCATTCAAAAAGGCTCATAGCAGTATTCTCTGCATAAGGTGCTTTCAACACGTACATGAATACTTAATCAGCAAATTGTAGTTTATGTATTTTCTTTGCAGGTTTTGATGCCATTGATGACACTGTTCATATGACTGTCTTTCACTGTGTAATACCTTTGCATATGTTAAACTATTTTTAATACAGTAAACATATTAAAGTGTAATATGGAATAGATATTATGGCAGAAGATAGAAAACAAACCTTAAATTCCTACAACTCTCTCATCAGACTCTAATTTACTGCTTTAGTTGGAAGTAATCTTGAAATTAGTGCTGCTTGCATAATTCTGGGAGTGTTCGCTACTGACAGAATAGTAATCTAGAGCACAAAATCCCACTGCCTTTTATTCCTAAAAGGTTAGGAGGTATGAGGAAAGCTGTAATTTTAAAGATGTACTATGACCTGGAAGTACAGATACAGCTCGTGTTTCAAAACATTATAGAGTAGGCTTTGTGCTTGACAATCAAAGCACAGGGCAGGAGAAAGTTGAAACAATCTGTTAATGATTATGTATTATTTGCCACTGGCAGTGATGGCTCCTGAGAACAGGTATCAGCAGATCTTGTGGCCTCCCAAACAAGTTAGATTGCTCAGTTCATATCCAGCTTTATAAACGGCACACACTTCTCACATTCTTTAAGGTGATCTAATCTTTATGTTTATCAA